GCTGGGACTGAATATCTCTGCCGGCTGCCTCCGGGCCTGAATATCCCTGTAGGCTGTCGCCGCTGGGCCCGTCTACCTCAGCGGGCTGCTGCTGGGCCCGTCTACCTCCGCGGGCCGCCGCCGCAGGCCTACCTGCATCTGCTTGTCTCTGCCGCCGGGCCTGTCTACCTCTGTGGGCCGCCGCTGGGACTCGTTGTTTTGCTTTTTAAGACAGGTCTCAGGTAGCCCAGGCTAGTCTCAAACTCCATATGTACCCAAAGCTGGTCTTTCATCCACACTTCTCTTGCTTCTCCCCGGTCTCTGATTTTTTCCAACACAGGAAAAATGTTATTCTTTTGAAATTTTTAAATAAGAAAGGATTTGTGTGTGTGTGTGTGTGTGTGTGTGTGTGTGTTTTCAATGTTCCTTTTCCCCAGGAGAAAAGAGAATTCCTGTTTTTATATATGGAAATTTGACTTTAGCTTCAAGTAATTTCATATGCATGTAGGTATTGTAAGTTTTAAAATTGTAGCACTTGTCTGAGTAAGTCTTCCAAATAGGATCATTGCCTAATCCAGCCTGGTGAGTAAGAGTTCCAGTGATGCTCAGGGCTACACTGAGATCCTGAGGAGAGCCCCACCCATTCTTGCATTTCATGGAATGCTTCTCAGAGAAGGAAGAACAGATATGGAAAAAAGTGGGAAACTTCTGAGTTAGAGCTTGGCAAAAGCAAAAGCAAGGGAATTTAAAAAAAAAAAGAAAAAAATACACCTGATTTTCATTTCAATAGAAAGGTGATATGCAGTGTTTGATAGGCTGAAGATGTCTCACACTGGATTGATTTTTTTCTGTTAGTCTACTCCCAACTTCTACTTATTTTCTAGAGACCTTGGTCTCTTGTTCACTGATGAAAATGCCTCTTTTCTCTGCATATACTCTAGGTTTCTTCTTCTTTTTATTTACCTGCTGTTGTTTTGATGGGATTGCAAAGGAGCAAAAGGAAATGTATGCTTTTGAAGTAGATCCCTTAGTTACAAATATCCCTGTTCTGTGTTCCAGCTCTTGTAATTCTAAGCACAGACCATGTGACCATGTATTTTCTATGTATGGCTAAATTAGTATCTCTTATCCTAAATGTTCTTCAGCAGTATGACCTTTCTCCAGAGTGTTATCAATAGAATTCCATTTTCTCCTTTGCAAAATAAAAACTGGCCCTTTTTTAACTGATGAAGAGTGAGATCATATTATACCCATGTATAAAGTTTTTATGTTTGTAGGTGTTTTGCCAGTACACATATCTGCATCAGCTGTATACCTGGTGCCCTGGGATGTCAGAAGAGAGTACTGAATCTGCTAGAACTGGAGCTTCAGACAATACTGAGCTGCTCTGTGGGTGCTGGGAATCAAACCCAGAACCCTTTAAAGAGCAGCCAGTGTTCTTAACCACTGAACTATCTCTCCAGCCTCTACTATATCCCCTACCTGCTTTGGACAACCAAATATTTCCCTTACATAGTTTTTCCAAAACCTTTAAAGAAAAATACTGGTGTTCCAGTTTCAAGAGTTTAAATGCCTAAATTTGTCTTCCACAGAGCCTATTCTGCAGTGGACTCTTGGACCTGAAATGAGTAACTCACAGGTCAAAAATTTGTTTCCACACTTGATAGACATCAAAGTGGTGAAGTGCCCCTGTGCCAATGATGTGGCATTATTTGGCTTTATTTTGAACTCGACATATAATGGTAAGTTTACAGTCTGATTGGATGTTAGAAATAGCCAGTTGTTTTATATTTGTTAAGTTGGTTTTAAGTGGAAATACACACTAAATGCATATAGAGAGTAAAATCTATTGTTTGTCACTCTACCTCTTCTACTTGCCAGTTTGATATGCTAGGAGAGATACTCCTTTGTTGTGGCCTTTTGTCATTTGAATGGTGACTTCAAACTGGGCATGATGGTGTATGCCTATAATACCAGCTATTTGGCAGTCTAAGGCAGAGCAGTTGCGTTGAGTTTAAGGTTAACCTGAGCTACTTATTAGAGCTTGTTTCAAAACCAATTAACCAAATCAATCAACCAGTCAGTAGCTACCTTGATTCACCTGTCCTCTGTTCTTTGTAAGTTTGTTGCATCTTCCCAGAGCTTGTTTATTGCTTCTAGTCTGTCTCCTTATTTCTTCTATGCATAAATCAATATTGTTATTCCTGAGACACTATCTTATTGTATTTGTACATATGTATTTTTCAATTATTGTTAAATATCTAATGGCATATGGAGGAAAAATAGCTGTTTTTCTCTAGATGCTTGTTTATCACACTTGTGGCATCAAATATATGGATTTCTCACACTGAGCAATTTTTCTGTTTACTGAAGATACCAAGTGGGTATCCTGTGATTCACTTCAACTCTGGCAATAGGTCGAGTCAGCATCAACTCTCACAAGTCAAAAAGACTCTACCTCCTATTTCAGATTCCAGGCACAAGTGCCAGGTTGTGACCTGTGCTTCTAACCTGGCTTATATAAATTGAAGAATCCCATAAGTCCCTTCTTAAATTCAAGATTTTGTTAGACTGTTCAAAAAACATAGGGTAACTCTCATGCACATTTACCAGGGTATTGTCAAGGATGTTACAAAGAATGCAGGTGAAGAGCCAAACAAAGAGGTACCAAGAGTAAGATCTAGACAGTTTCCAATCACAGGAGTTCTGTTCCATGGTATTGCATTATACCATCTCTGAGGACTTGGATATGTATGTCAACCTACAAGCTCCAAATCCTGTAATTTACAGAAATCTCATGAAGGCTTCACTTCATAGGAATGATCAATCATTGACTCAACTCTAACCTCTCTCCCCTTCCTGAGTCAGAATATGTATGAAGCTACAAGTGTCAACTCAAGGTATGGCTTATTCAGAATGAAGCTGAATATCTCCTTTCTAGATACCAGTTTTCAGAAACTCATCAAAGTAGACAGTGAATGCAAACTTCATACTTCCTATGAGAAGTACATGATCACAAAAGTTGTTGCTGCTGCTCTGGGTGAAGAATGAAAGGATTATATTATCAGAATGACAAAGTTTTCTCATTAAGCAAGGTGTCTGAACCCACTGCAGGGTGTGCCTGCTGTTGAGTAAGGGGTATTCATGTTATAGGCCAAGAAGAATGGAGGAGAAAATGTGCAAATCTGTTCAGGGATGCTTTGTGGATGCCCATCTAAGTCTTATCAGATTGGGAGAGAGAGAGAGAGAGAGAGAGAGAGAGAGAGAGAGAGAGAGAGAGAGAGAATGAGAATTGATTGCTGGTCTGATGGACTTCTCCAGCTGATGCTTTAAAGAGCTAGCAGAATATGTACACTTTTCAATCTCTGTAAAGAAGATAGTTTCCCTCCGTGTTGTGTCAAAAAGCCTTTAAACAAAGAAGGTAAGAAGCCTACATTGAAAGCTCCTAACATTCATTGTCTTTTACTACATGTGCCCTGCAACAAAAACTCTATGAAATTGCTATGAAAAACCAACACACCAAGAAAAGTGAGGCAGAGGCTGTAGAACAAATAAAACTTTGGTATAAAAGAATGAAGAAAGTCAAAGAAAAATACCTGCAACAGATTTCCTGGAAATATAGATAGTCCTCAGTGAAAGCTTTTGCTTCATTTGTTGTGGTTTTGAGACAGAATTTTAGTAGGTAGCCTTGGCTCGCCTGGAGCTCACTCTGTAGTCCAGGCTGGCTTTAAACTCAGAGAAGAGATCCACCTGACTCTGCTCTCAAATCCTGGGATTAAAGACACAAGCCACTAATCCAAGGAATAGTTTCTTCTAAATCTGAATGCAGTCAGTATTAAGTATCCTTAACAGTAACAAATAAATGATCAAACCTTAAAAAAATTGAGAATAAAACATAAAACTTTCCTTAGTGTACCTTGTAATATAGTAATAGATTCAGTCAATGTAGTCTTCTTCTAAATTAGTATGATTTCCTAATGTCTTAGAGTCTGTTACATACCTCTAGGTCTAAATGTTTTCTGCTTCTGAATCAGTTTAGTCATAAATCATGTTGTCTTACTTACCTCTGCTGTCCCTATACTAGACACAATGTTAACCCAGATGGAAACTCAGCCCATTTTCTACTTTGTCCCATGAATACCTCTTTCTCTTTACCCAGCCACAGATACTAGCTGTCCATGCACCAACATAGAGCAGCCATGCTCATCTCCTCATGTTCTATCGGAGTATCCATGTGGTAGTCAGAGGAGGCAAGGACTAGTCTTGACTTCCTGAGTACAACTCACCTTTTAAGAATGAAATCAGCTTCTGTAACCTATTTGTTAGATAAATCTACTCTCCTCCCCGCCAGATACTCACCATTGTTCTGAAGCCAAATCAAGTTGCCACAGCCTACCCAACAGTTCCTTGATGAGGCCCGGGTTAATCCTCTGGCCTTTGTACCACTTGGAGTCAGTGGTGAGAATAGTAAACTCTTACCAGCATTCCTTCTACAACACTCTTAAAATATCCCTTTGAGTCCCCCAGCAGCCACCACCAGAAATCTCAGCCTCTCAGATCACTTGCTACATCCCATTGCACATGGGGCATTCTTTAATCTGATTCACATTTCTTACCTTTCTGGCTATTCAAATCCTTTCATTAGGAATTGTAATCTGGGAATGGGGCCAGGCTTAGGCCCGCTGGCCAGCTCTTGGCATGGAGCCACTGAAGCTGTGACCTGTGCTGCTTGCCCCACAGGCAACAAGCACAGAAATCCTGCCTAGTGGTCAGCACCTATGACAGGGAGATGTCCTGGCTCTCACTCAGAAATATGTCATAACTGAATAGGACAGTCAACCCCCAGTATTGAGCTATTGCAGCTGCAGCCTGAGGTGCTTGCCCTGCTGGGAGATGGAGAGTGCTGGGTAATAGAGCTGTCTGCAGGCTACAAGTATAAAGGCCAAGCCTGATGAGCCTCAGGGTGGCAGACATAGAGGGCAGAAAAGTATGTGACAGCCAGGAGCTTGCACAGAACCTGCCCCAAGATGCCCTGCCTAGCTGCAACATCACCTTGACTGTGGGCAACAGCAGAATATCTGAAACCAGTATCTTGGCAATGATCTAGTATTTATGGCTCTTCAGAAACCATAAATGTAGACTAATATTTGCTTGCAAAGCTGTCTGTACAATATATATATATATATATATTGTACACAGCCTCAGCCTGCAACAGGACCACAGAACCAGACATGGCCCTCCAAGGCAGCTCAGACCTGAACATATATACACACATAAATGTATATATTATATATATGCATATGTATATACATGTGTATATATGTTTGTGTGTATATATGTACATATATGTATAATAGATAGATAGATAGATAGATAGATAGATAGATAGATAGATATAATGTAATACAGGACAGTTTTCAATGCGACTATGATGAATGAATATTTTCAGGAGAGGTGGGAAGACAGAGGAATGGAGTGGTGATTAAGTGGTGGAGAAAAGTGGAACTAGAGACTCAACAGTGGTGGTAATTGTGACAGAGGCTTCAGAGGATGGAGGAACATGTCATTATTGAAAGGGCCAACAGAGTGATATGCTGCAGTCTGGAGCTTATATTCTCATTCAGCCCTTCAACAGTTCCCCAGCCACATGATCATCCTGGTTCTGAGCAAAGATATGATGTCCAAGATGAAGTACGGTCCATTTTCTTGTTGGATCTCTTTGTAAGACCTCTATGGCCCATGATGCCCTGGAACCACTTTAGTACCTGTGATCCACAGCCCCAAGCCATGATGAAGCTGGAGGTTCATGTGGGTGCCCAAGGTCTTACAGCTGGGAGCCATGTTGATATCCCTGGCCAGAGATACCACTAGAGGCCACACAGATGTCCTTGGTCTGAGCTGCTGTCTGAGACCATTCTTAAGTCTGTGAGCTATGCTTTCACCAGGGGCCTTGTTGATGTGGGTAGCCTGTGCTGCCTACTGAAGCTATGTTGATATTCAGGTCTGAGCTGCTTTGGAGGGCCATGTCTGGTTCTGTGGTCCTGTTGTAGGCTGAGGCTGTGTTGATGTCTGTGACCCATGTTGCCACCAATGGCCATGGGGATTTTTGTGGTCTGTGCTACAGCCTCGAATGATGTTGATGTCCACTGGTCATGCTGCTGCTGGGGGCCATATTGATATGGGTGGTTTGAACCACCACCTAAAGTCATAGGGATGTTTGTGTCTGGGCTGCTGCCAATAGCCACGTCTGAGTCTGTGGTCCTAATGCAGCCAACATCTGTATTGATGTCCATGGCCTGTGGTACCATTGAAGGCTATGCAGATGTCCATCCTTGGTTTATGCTGCTGCCGAGGGCTATGATTGGCTCCATGATCCATGCAATGGGAGAGAACTATACTGCCATCAGAGATCATGCTGCAGTTTGTGTCATGTACTGATGTTAGAGACCATGTGGATGTCTGTGGTCCAAGTGGTCACCAGAAACCATGTAGAAATCCATGATGCATGCCCCTGCTGACTATGAAGGGCATGGGAGATACTTTTGCCATGGTATTGGTGACTTAAGACTCATCGTGAGAAAGAGAAACATGGAAGGCTTCCATGACAACCCCTACTCTCACTCCACCCCATCCAAAAAGTAACAACTTAGACAGGAAGTTATTGAAGATAATTCTTAAAAAGTGTGATGGGTGTGTTTAAGTGTAGCTCTCTTATTGAGGGCTTCTGGCAAGGGTGTGGGTT